GTAGTAGTAGTAGTAATAGTAGTAGCCGCAGCAGCAGCAGCAGCTGCAGTAGTGGTAGTAGTAGCTGCCCGAACCCGACGGGAACAGAAAACACACTTTCGGGAACAGAAAACACTGCTGAACACAGAAAACTCCTTTCCGGGAACGTAAAGCCAGAAAGCGGGGAACATTTCAACCCCTTTGCCGGGAACAGAAAACACCCGCGGTAACGTAAAACACACACAGGCACGGAAAACACCATTCCGGGAAGGAAAACACCACGGGAACAGAAAACACCAAAATGGGAACAGAAAACCTGTAGCCCCTACTGTTTGTTTGCGCAGACCACAAGTTTACTTTTGCTCAAACTTTGTGGTTCAAGGCAGCATGATGCTCAGAACCCTTGAGGTATCATGATGTGGGAAACAGAACCATTACAGTAGAGTGTGTTTGACAATAGGGGGAACTACAAAAGATTACAAAAGAACCTAGAGAGTAGGACAAGTTGATGAACGCTCAGGTGGAGGATCCAGGAGAGACACGCTTCCACCGGACTCGATCGCTTTACAAGGATTGCTGGGACCTAAAGAGCTGTCTCCTCACCATCCAAACTTGCATTATTATATAATTGAAAATAAGCTAAGCAGCTTACTGGGTCTACTTCTCTTGAACAGCTACTCAAGTAAAAATTACTACAGACATCCCATCATGATTTGGACTAGTTTCACCCTATCAACATGCAGCATGAGATCCACTGGCCGACATGCATGCTCGTTCAAGGTGCTACTTGCATTTCATGCTTGTGAGCATCATACACCATCATACACCATTCGATTTTGGCGCAACAAGCGTTCAGGAACAGAGACAAGTACTGCTGAGACAAGTATCAATCGCTGCCGTAGTCCGCAAACTGCTCGTCCTCACCTTGATCTTTGCTTAATGGGGGAGCTAGGAAGCATGAACTCCAGCCTGTTGGCTATACCCACACACTCCATGCTGTATGGAGTAGGCGGCATAATATGTGTATATATATATATGTGGGGGGGACCTTTACGTATAATGTAACGACCTCTCACTCCTCAGCTTCGTCCCAACTGCTGTACTCTACTCTATTCTAAAAACGATTGTGCCAAAGATGCAATGAGACTTGAATAATATACCTTACCAAATAAACGTAGAGCCTGGTGGGATACAAACAAGAGAAGTGGTATAGGGTAGGGCAAAAGATACACAGGTTGATCAACTACATATATATGATATATGTAATATATAATTAGTAGTCCTGGTGTCCGGTGGACAAAGTAGTTAGGGTAAATGGGCAGAGTATATAAGAGTGAAAAAGTACGCGCGTTTCCAGGACATCCTGCAGAGCGTTAGAGTGCATCATTTGCTTGCAACACCTTTAGGTACATAAATACGAAAAGGAGCTTATGAAAGGGTTTACATATTGGTTACTGTATATTAGGGGGTGCTTTCTTATTGTTTATCGGATAATTAGCCCACTCCTCTCCATTCAGCTTCGTCCCAGTACCAGCTGCTGTACTTTACTGTATTCTATTCAAAAAAACGATTGTGCGAAGAAGACTCGGATAATACACTATGCCAAATAAATGTAGAGCAAGGTTGGTGACAGACAGGAGAAGTGACATAGGGTAGGGTAAAAGATAAAGCAGAAGCGAACACAGGTTGATAAACTACATGTATATAACAAAATATAATACAATATAACATAATAAACTATAATATAATACAATATAATATAATATATAATTACTGTAGTAGTACTGGTCTGTGGTTGACAAAGTACAAGGTAGTTCTGGTCGGCTGTGTAAAGATCTGATCTTGGCTCTAACCACTATTGGAAACCATTGTAAAGATGCAACTCGAGTTTAAATGAGTGTATGGCAGGATAAGATAAACTAGGCTAGTTATCCAGGTAGAATAGCTCAGAGTAGAGTAGCATACATACAGACAGAATACACCCATGAGATTATTGTGACCAAAATTGAACAATATCATGGGTGTGCGATCCTTGTTGAGTCCTCCATTGCATTACAAGCATAAAAGTTAGGTTGTAGGATTACTTTTCGTCTGTCACTCCCTCCCTCTCCTGTCCTAGGTTGAAACCTTCTGCGCACTTGCACGTTCACATCTTTTCATGTTCTGTATCATTCAATTTCGATCTGAAGAATAGGCAACGTATATAAGAGTGAAAAAGTATGTGCATGTCCAGGGCATCCTGCATCATTTTCTTGCTGCTTGCAAAGCCTTTAGGTGCATAACTATGAAAAGGAGCTTATGAAAGAGTTTACATATTATTTGTATAAGGGGGTGCTTTCTCACTGTTTATGGGATAACTAGCCCACTCCTCGCCATTCAGCTTCGTCCCAACTTCTGTACTCTACTCCATTAAAAAAGAGGATTGTGTCAAAGATGCACTGATGTAGAAGAAGGTGGGATACAAACAGGAGAAGTAGCACAGGGTAGGGTAATGTACATCAATGCAAGATGAAGCAGAAGCGAACACAGGTTGACAAACTACATATCATACATAGTAGTCCAGTCTATGGTGAGGGGTTTATAAAAAAGGTTTTTGTGGAAGGGTGTGCACAAATACGATTGGCCTCGGCAGGGTGAGGGGTCTATAACATGATGGGTTTTGTGGGAGGGTGTGCGCAAATACGATGGGGGTGAGGGGTTTATAAAATGAGTTTTTGTGGTAGGGTGTGCACAAATACGAGGGACTTTTGACAAGGTGAGAGGTTTATAACATGGGTTGTTGTGGAGGGCGTACGAGGGCCTTGGCAGGGTCAAGGGTTTATAAAATGGGTCTTGTCGGAGGGTGTGCGCAAATACGATGGACTTTTAGAGGGTAAGGGGTTTATACAATGGGTTTGTCCAACCTTTGTGTTTGCGTGCTTAAATTTGGTCATGGCATGGTCTGTTAATAATGGCCTGTAGCAAATTGCCAGTATCCTATAAATGAGTAGATCTACCAAATCATGGGGGATGTACGATAGGCATAGTGTAATTCACAACCAGCCCTATAAAGCAATAAAAAAGAGAGAAATAACAAAAGTTTAGCCAACTCATAGTGATTGGGTTCTGAAAAAGATTGCTTAAACGGTCGTTATATTATGTTATTCCTTTTCACCCTTTTCTCCCTCCACAATGAAGACACATGATACTTAGTATTCTTTTCTCCCTGTTCTCCATCCACATTGATAATAAATCATTTTTGTTCCTGGGATTTGGACTTTGGCAGCCCACCAACACAAAAACAAATCACACATTGTGACATTGAACATATAGTGATTTTGTAAAGTAGATTTACAAAAGCCATGGAGCAATGGAATGTAACATATAACATATGCCACAATTGTAAAAGGTGTGCATTGTTCACTGCAGGCATGTGTTGTTTGTTTGAGTGAATGTTTGTTTTGCTGATTGTTTGTGTGTACTGTTTTCCTTTTTTTTCTCGGAAATGTTTGCGTTTTTTGAAAAGAGGACTGGAAACGTAATTTTGTATATCACCAGGATCCCCATTTTATAAGGAATTCCTCAAGGGGTATCATTTTATAAGGAGTCCCTCAAGGGGTATCAGTTTATAAGCAAACAAGTGTGGAGATATATTTAGTTTTTTTGCAGACGACTAAAAATCAAAATCCTTCAGGTTCCTAAATATGCTTTAAAACAATCCTACAAAAAAAGCAACTCCAGGTTCCTAGGTTTTCATGTATTTAGACATTCCTTTAAAAAACTAAATGTCTATTCTTTTTAGTTGTACGGCCTATTGAAAAATAAAAACAAAATAAATATATTGTCTCTTTAGTTTTGCACCCTTATATTAAAGAACTAAATATTTCGTTTCTTTTTTGCATCCTTGAGAGAACAAAACTAAAAACAACTAAATATTTTTGTTTTTTGTGTTTTGCGGCCTTTTAAAACGCACTTTTTAAGGCCGCAAAAATAAAAAAAAATAAATATATCAGGTTTCGAGGTTTCCAGGTATTTAGAAATTCTAAAAAAACAAAAAAAAACAAAAACAACTAAATATTTAGTTGTGTTAGTTTTTTAGTTCTTTTTTAAAGGCCGCAAAACTAAAAAAAAAAACAAAATATTTCAGGTTTCGAGGTTCCAGATATTTAGAAATTCTAAAAAATTAAAAAACTAAATATTTCAGGTTTCGAGGTTTCCAGGTATTTAGAAATTCTAGAAAAATTAAACAAAACTAAAGAACTAAAAAAACAAAAAAACTAAATATTTCAGGTTTCGA